CAAACTATATGAAAACGATGGAAGAAATGCTAAATTACTTTTTTAATACATTGCACATTGATGGACTATTCATCGATCATCCAGACGAAGCGGTTAACTACTTTAAGACGAACAATTTCAGACTCTTCCGTTGTTCCTGTATAGTCATTGCATTCTGTTTCATGCTTAGTTTGTTTATCAAAACCTACTAGAGATGAGTGAAGAAAAGATGTCCTTTCCTGCAAGACATGATGTGTGATTAACGGAACAGTACAACGTGATAACGCATTAAGAGAAGCAGCTTGATGTTCACCCAATAGGTAGAGGATGATTCCATTTTTAACTTAAAAAAAGCAAGCCTCTTGCATCACTAATTGAGCAAGTATGGATCTCAGTCATGACGCGTTTCTAAGTTGTTGACAAAATGTAATGTTTGTGTTAGAGAAGAAGAATGAATGAATGGAAATGAAGAGCGAGTGTTTTCTTCCCATTAAAAACAGTCACCAGAGATAGCGATAGTATAAGAGAACTACAGAAAAGAAGAACCACCTCATTGTTGTTCCTCCATTATAGTTAGCACTCGAAGATCATAACGAAAGGAGAGCAATAGTAATTGTTGATCATGGACGATCTGCACATTCTGAGATGCTTCGGTAACAATATGCATTTAAGCGCGATGACTTCTAGATATGACATGGCGCGGACATAAATTTAACTTATGTTTATCTGAGTCACGATGATACACTTAATTTAAAAGCATAGTAGGCCAATCGCTAAGCAGCATTATATGTCGACGATCCTCGCATGAGAAGAATATACCAACAACACAAAAACATGAATAGAATTTTTAAAAAAAGAAAAAGGAGCATATATGTAAACAGTTTAAACGTAATAGAGTATCTGTCTGTGAATAGAGGAAATTAAAGAAAAGATGTCATGTGCGGTAAGCGAAACTGAAAGATTATAGTGAACAGGAAGCGGAAAATCATCAGGTGTGCTCAAATCTGTTCGTCTCACGAATAAACTCACATACAGCATTGCACAGGTACGTAATAGATGCTTGTCGAAGTGAAATCGTTTTGTAATGATATTCTTGGAAAAAATATATTGTCCAAATCTATTAACAAGTTTTTAAACTTTGCGTGGCTAGCACATAAACGAATCTGTGAATCCAACGCATTTCAGAAATGTGGAGTTTCAAGTACGAATGTTCTTTCATACACATCGAGTATACGTAAGTCAATTGGCAACCTTTGTTGACTAACAAACCTTGTGTTATATGGGTTTATAATTTGATTATTAGTAATAATACCATTGACTTCTGTCTAAGCGATAAAGAGTATCTGTCTTTTATTCATTTGTTTTTGAGAGCTGAATCCATGTTTACACATAGAGTTGAGATGGAATGTAACCGATCAGTTTTTTGAGTGATATAGCCCTTTGCCTGGAGCGAATATAAAAGCTTTATATCCATCAATCCCAATCAATCTGATAAATTTCATGATGTTATTACGTTTATTCTAAGTGAACTACGTAGGCACGAAGGGTTTGATTATAGTAAGAAAAATAAATATATCCGAAAATATCCATGTAAATCCATGTATACGAAGTTATGTACTTCTTTATGCCATATTTCAAATCCTTTTTTTACTTTTAGTACTGGAAATAATTTCTTAATAATTAAATTTCTCTAACAAAAAAATGAAGGAAAATTAAAACTGAAGTGATATATACATAGTGAATGATTTTTATTTCTAGATTGAGAACAGTGTCACTTTAAATAAAAAAGAGACTTTAATAGGTCAATTATCACTAGATTCTAATCCATCATCACTTAATATGTCACATGCTATATTAACAACTAGTGTCATCAGATTCTGATAAAATACATCCTCTCACACTAAGAAGTTACGCAAGTTAGGAGAAATTGTTGAAGAATAAGTCTATGTAAAAATAACAACGATATAAATGTGAACGAGCTACCTAAATATCTAGAAACAATAGTCAAAGACTCGCATTTTTATTCTGTAGACTTCGATCAATCTGTTGGAAAGAAACGATCTAATAAACACTTAATGATGACAATAACAGTAACAATAAACTCTAATAGTTGTGCACAATCTATATGAGAACAAAAAACTGTTGTGTTACTCGAATCATTCTCTCATAGACTAACTTGGACTAGAAAATTATACAATTGTTTTCGAGCATATATCGGAATGCAGAGTGTCCTTACTCAGTAAGGATTTGTATTACATTTGAATTGGTTGTTTTCCTTGTATTCATCAATTTGCCACTTTACCTCTTATTAAGTAAATTGAAGCAAGAACAAGATACACACCACAGTAGACTTTAGAGGTGATGGATGGGTAGTTTTAGATAGTCAATTTCTTCCTTAATCGCAAGTTTGGAGAAATATTGAAATCTGAACAAACTTTTAAATGTAAATTAGCCCCGATAAAAAATCAATTGTCTTTCTTCCTCACCTGCTTCATATTCAGATGAACGAGTCTGAAGAAAGAGCAACACAAAAGAGACAATGGACGTTTAACAGATAGCACTGGAAAATTATATATTCAAAAACAAAGAACAAAGACTATAAAACGTTCATTCATCTATCCCACCATACTTCTCTTTCTTCCTCTCATTCTAACTTCGTCATATTTTTTAATTATTTGTTCTCGTTGCTTTTCATCTTTAATTGCTTGTCTGTATGATGTTAAAATATTTTGAAAAAAATTTTTTGCTTTTTCATGTGTACATATCACGGCTCGTTCAAGTACATATAAATCTACAGCTATATTTTCCAATATTTGTTGTTTACTCGATACAAATGAACTAAGACCAAAATCAATCAGATATAAATCTTGTTCAGGATTATTGTAAGGTGGTATCAGTAACATATTCGATGTTGTTAAATCACCATGGACTATCTGAGATTCATGCAAACGTGCTATAATATGACCAATTTCTCGAGCCAATTTTTCCAAATTTTGTCTATCATCATTCGTAATATATTCATCAATAGTTTGCTTAACGGTTTTACATTTAACAAGTTCTTCCATAACAATAAGACGTTTATCCAAATCAATATGATAAATAGATGGCGTATGGATACCTAATTGTTTTGCACGTGTCAATAATCGAACTTCATTTCTTAAACGTTGAGAAGTTATTGTACGATCAAGTTCAGGATGACGATAGGTTTTAATAAAACGTTCTTTGATTATTGAACAACGACCAAAGTATAAACAACGATATAAACGTGCTTCAGCACCTTGACATATCAATTCAACATTTGAATAAGCAACAGGAGCAGTTTCCATTTTAGATCTAAAACGTTTGAGTGACTGATATGCACTTCAAAGTAATAGGATAGGGCTATCTGTTTTCACAGTTCACAAATTCATCATCAACTAGTTTATCAACTAGAATTATTTATCCTTCATTTGCAAATTTAATTTAAAAAAAAGAAAGAAAATTAATAACAACAAACAAACAAATCGAACATTTTTTTACATACAAGTGTTAATAAGCAAAAACAAAAAAAAAGAAAAATGACCAGCAAAAATAAGCAACTTTTCTATCTAAATTTTGTTTCCAGAATCTGACAGAGTATTTTATCTGCTCAAGGTATATATCTGGTTTGGCTATTATAAATATGTAAAACAATGAGAACAGTCGATATCGTCCAAAATAATACGAATTCAATATACAAAAAGTGAAACAAGAAGTTTTGAACAATGATTCATACATAAGAAATTTTTTACATAAAAAGACAGTGACAAAAATATCAGCGCCTAGTTTGTCATTTTACTGTTCAAATGATAGTAAATTATAAAGCGTTGCGCAAGAAATAACCAAAAAAAAAAAAGAGAAGAAAAATAACAGTCGAACTGGTCACTTACACTCATATGAAAAAACAACATATTTTGAAAGGTGGAGAAGACGTTATAATTCTTTAATAAAAAGTATAACAAAATTACATACGATCACGTTGTAATAGGAAGCGCGAAGTAAACAACATCAAATTGTTAAATAAAGCGTTGAGTTATACTAGAGAAGACGTTTTTCTAAGAAATTTACGCTGATTTAGAAGTAAAACTTTCTAAACTGTTTAGAGGCAGATCAATCAACGTTCTACATTTTTCACTCAGAAAACAACAACAACAAAACACAGTGTAAACAGAACATAATTTGAATATGATAAGAACGAGAAACACCACTGTTGCTAGACGATTAATAATAGATTATAGTCAAAAAAACGAAAAATAGCATTTTTAAAAGACACTACAATTGTGTTTCAGATAAGCCAGCATATTGTGACTCTGATCGATCAAATTTATAATTTTCAAAACTATTTGATGGATGTATATCACTCTGGTGTTGATGTGATAATAAAATTGTTGATGTATTCGATTTTTGTTGTGATGGTATGGTTGTTATTGTTGGTGGTGTTAAGATTGATTTATTCTTGGACATTGTCGCCGAATTAACAACACCTAATGATGTTGCGCTATCAGTTATATTCGTATTTTGGTTAGTCGATGATGTTCTATGATTATTATTATTATTATTATTACTGCTATTGGTTTGTCTTGGACGTCTTGGATCGGGATTTTGATTTGGTTTGCAGATATCTTCACGATATTCGTAATCTTCTTCATATCCACGAGGAAATATCATTTCATCTTCAAATTCATCGACAATTATAGGCTCCAATGGAGACGGTCGAAAAACCTAGTAAAAGAGAGAAAAATATGTATTTCTAGCAAGACTTAATAGTAAGTACTTAATCCTAGATTTATCGAAAGTAAATGGTTTCATTGTTAATCTACTACGAATCGTATAGATATATGCGCCATCAAATAACCTAGCTAATACGAATAAATGATACAGTTTCTTACTTGTTCATACAATTGTCTATCAGATCTATAACTATCATAAAGTCTATCGTGAGGTTCATTTTGTTGTCCTTGATGGTAATGTCTTAAACCATCATGGTAATGTAATGGTAACGTCGATGATATAGATCCACCGCCGATACTTCTCAATGGTGTGGATTCTATTGGTAATTCACTATACATTGGTGGACCCAAATGAGTATGACTATTTATCATATCATAATGATCATATGAATTATTTGTTATGAAACTTTGATCATCTTTTTCTTTATAATTTAAACCCATTTCATCCATACCAACAATGTTACCGTTTCTATTTGACTGTCCAGACATATCAAATAATAACGTTTTATTTCTTTCTGCTTGTTGTTTTTTTGAACGATGACAACGTACCAATACACAAATACAAATAAATAAGACAATTAATGCAAGTATAAATGCTAGTAAGACAATTATCCATAATAAAAATGATGTATTATTAACGATAGATGTGCGATGTACACGTAATTCATATGATAAATGATCATTATCACTACGTTCCTGATTTTTAATAGCTGCCACACAATTGTATGTACCATTATGTTCAACACCGATATTTGTTATTGTTAACGTTGTGGTTTTATTTAAACATTGATCTAGTTTATTTCGAATACATTGCCATCTAAGAATGTATGAACCACAACGATGTTCTTTATTTTCTGGTGATGTTATTTTACCAATTACTCGATTTTGGTATGTCCACCAAACATCAGGTGCCGGATCCGAATACACCTAAATAGAAAAGAATATTACTTTTGCTTAAAAAATAGTTACGTTGTTTCCTACTTACATCGCATCTTAACGTTGCCATTTCGCCAGATGAGGCTACAAGTAATGTTAAATTTGGTTTTGTTATGATTGGTCCACATACAAATTGTTCTTCACGTAATGTTTGAATTTTTTTACCACTTAATGCTTTTGGTATTTCACATACAGGATCATCACTGTAAACAGGATATTCTAAACGATTTAAATTTGTTCTTAACCATCTTAAATGACAATCACATTCTAATGGATTTCCACCAATTTTTAAACGAAAATTATCTGTTAATGTAAAATTATTATCATTATCATCAATCGATGATGGCGATAGTGTACGTAATGAATTATTATTGATATAGAATACTTTTAATTTTGACAAATTTCGTATAACGTTAATATCAACATAATCTAATTTATTATAGGGTAATTCTAAACGATTTATATTGGGAAAATTTTTTAAATCGTTTACAGCCAGTCGTTGAATTTTGTTATGTGATAATATTAATATACTATAAATATAAAGAAAAAATTCACATACTTGTAAGATGTGCACTAGTAAAGCTACTCTTTTGGATTACCAGACGATTTGACGTTGATCACGAATCTAAGATTCGTTTTTACTCGTACGGCTTCCTAATATCGTTCTATAGAAATCGTGTTTCTGAAGACTTGATCTATATTTTCAGAAGAAGAGATTCTCATTTGGCTAGTTACTAGAGAAAATCGAGTTATCTGTGTAGAAGTTTTGAGAACTGACGAATAAGTTTTAATAGACTTATATTTATTCTATCAGGAGAAATATCTCAACCAGCCTCATTTTATCTGTATAAAAAACTGAAATCTACATAACTCGGGGAAAAATTATTCGTTAGTTCCCAAAAATTTTTGACATAGATAACTCGACCATCTCTAGTAACTGGCCGGATCAGAATCTCTCTTTCTGGAAATATAGAACAAGTCTCCAGAGACACGATTTCTATAGAACGACACTAGGAAGGCATACGAGTAAAAACGAATATTAGATTCTTGATCAGCATCAAAACAAACACCCTAAAAATCTATATTTCATCTAAACTGAAGTGAATCACCGAGGATAGCTTCCTCATCAGAGATTATACTTATTCGACTATCTGAATTCTAATTGAAAATACTCTTTCGATACTCTTAGTACTATGGGAAAAGTATAATTCTGAAATCAAATGGATTAAGAAAATTTGTTGATTCATAACACTTGATAAATGAAGATAAATCAATATTAACTGACCTCAATGGTGTATGTGCTGATATTGTAAGATTTGTTAATGGTATTTGTTTAAAATCATTATAAGATAAATCTAATAAATCTAAACTTCTTCCAATTATTTGAAATGCATCATTCTCAATTTGATTTAATTGTCCATTTTTAACATGTAGATATCTTAAACTTGACAATTTATATTGATTATTGTTATATGTAAATTCAAACCATTTATCAGTGATTAGTTGTAAATGATGTTGAATAATTGTTAAATTTGTCATTAAATATCCACGACGATGTTCAGTATGAGTAATCAATGTTAATTGATCATTTATACATTGTTGTAAATGATTAAGATTCTGAATATTTTTACAAAACATACTTGATGATAATTCACTATAGTCACATGAACAACTTGTACCAGCAGTAACAACAGAACCCATTAACAAAAATAAATACGTTATCCAATTTAAATAAAAAATTTTCATATGAAACTTAATAAGTTGAAAAGAATCGATCGATTGTGATTGTGAACTAGAAGAAAATAAACAAAATACACATTTTTATCTATATAGAAACAAAACAAAAAAAAAAATAATAAAAATCAATTTCTCTCTCTTTTCCCATGTCAGAATCAAATGTCGCATCTTTTGACATCATTTTTTTTTCTATATTATCATATGGGATTTTGTATTATGTAATTTCATTTTTATGTATGCGAGAATAACTAATCTATATTTCACACAAGTTTTACGAAAGATTTGTCTAGTGGAATACAACGCGCGGCATTATACTCACAAATTTTTTTCCTTTTGATAATATAGACAAATAGATATGTGTGAAACAACGGCACATCGTTTTTCTTTTTTGATCATAAAAGAAAAACAACATACTTACAATATGTAAAAGAAAGTGGTTATAATAAACAAGTTAATCCGTAAATAAATCATTGTTGGAGAAAAAGAGACATACAACTACTGATATTTATCAGTGTCAAGGATCGTACTCTATCATCATAGTTACACATTTATTTCTGAATAGTTTTGAACACTTTATTAGCATTAGAACATGAGCAAAAGAAAATCTATTTTTTCTAATTCTTCATTTTTCATAGAGGTTCCATCTTATCAAATACTAGTCAATTTAAAGCATGTCAAGTATTTCCTGATGTAACACTATATCCCATTCAAATGTTTTGTTTTCTCTGCTTATGTTACGAGTCATGAGAAGGGAAATATTGTCAATTCCGTTTCGTAGTTCAGATTAAAATAGAAAAAAAATCACTATTTTGGATGTAAATTTTTTTACAGAGAAATTTTGAATAAAAAAAAAAAATGCAGAAATGCATAAATTAAACTCAAATGATCAATCTTACCTCTCACTCAAAAAAAAAAAGCGTCAATTTATCAGTTTCTACAAACCAAATGTGTCATGGTTAGATTCTTCTTTTGTGTAAATCAACCGATTATTGTGAGAAAAAAGTTGACACAAAGGTGAAAAGTAGAATATTGTAATGTAACACATTTATATCTTGTTAGAACATCTTTTTTTTTTTGAATATTGTGTGTATGTGTGTGTAGGCCTAGTTTAAAGATGCTATCCATGTTCATTTTTTTTTTTTAAACAATCGAAAATTGACAGGCATCCCTGCGAATTAAACGCGTATGTGTCAGTCAACAAACACATCTGCATCTATGCATGACTAACATTTCTATCTATCTGTCTACTAAATATTATGGATTATTGATGAAACACTATTCAGTCTTCATAAAAAAGAAAATATTACAGATCTAATTGTTTTACAATTCAAAATTACATGAACACATTTATCGTCTATGAATATCTGAGATTTCTCTACTTTCCCATCCGAACGGTAGAATAGGTCAACTAAGATTTAGTTACTGTTTTTTAAGCAAAAAAATTCATTTGTCAGTCAACACTATGTATCTCATTTCAATTTGGTAACCCTTTCTACTATTTCATCGATATTTTTAAAAAAATCCTCCAAAATCGCAATTTTTTCTCGAAGATTCATTCATCATATTTTTTCATTGTTCCTCTTCTTTCTTATAAATCTAGTTTCAGCTACTATTTTTCTAGCTTCACAATCATTTAGTGTAAAAATATTTTCTAAATAGAATAGAATCAAGCAAGAATCGAATCAAACAATAAAATAAAATGGCAACATACCTGAACATGATTTATCACTCATTGTTTGCTTGACTTATTTTCTAAAATTTTTATATAGGTGAATAATTTATTTTTATGTAAATTAGGTAAAAATTTGATATATTCAAATTATGTCTATTATGGTGGTTATGACATAATCATATTTCTGATTAGTAATTCCACTGGCATCGATATCTCTATCTAACCAATTGAATTTCTAAACATTTACGATTATTCTTTTACAATATCATACAATGACCATTGTTCAGAGAGAAAATTTTTATCCACCACTATATCGTCTGTTAACAAAATTATCTAGAAACAAAAGACATGAATAAAGAAACAAGAATATATCTGATCTTTTAGTTAGAGAGAGCATAGAGAACGGGAGAAAGAGAAAGAGGGAGAGAGAGAGAACACCTATTGTTATTTCTCCTCTTCTTCTTGATCATGGCTGTAAAGTTAAAGCAGATGTAAAAACACCATTTGTCTTAAATTTACACAAAAAACGAATGCCAATTCTTCCTCTCAATATATCTACATACGATCTCGTTGTCGTCATTTGTTTTATTTTTGTCCAGTCATTCTGCTACCATGCGGCAACGTTCATTCAAAAAGGAAAAAGGAAATTGTATTGTACCATGAACGCGAGAACGAAACAAAACAAAAAAAAAAAAAAAAAATTATCCGACGGATTGATAAACTTTTTTTTTTTTCTTTTTCTCTTTAATGTTTCGCAAAATAGAGACATACAACTTTTGAATGGGAAAAATGTATATATTTGGCACAATTGGGTGCGATTTAGAACAACACCTCAATCTCGAAAAGAAGATATAGAGACATACATAGAAATGAACCGTTAAATTATTGTTATTGTGTTTCCTTTATTGTCAACAAGGCAAGGACTTCTACACAATCAACTAAAAAATAATGACGGAAGTTATTAGAATAGAATGAATTCGATGTTCTTCTGTTGAAATAGAGATCAATATGTAATGAATATTCAAATACAAAAAGATTAAAACTTCTTTTGAAATAAAAAAACAATTTCCAAGATCGCGAAAATCTTTCAGTTAAAATAGGCCTTCAAATTTCGATAGAACTTATTTTACAGAAGCAAAAATATCAATCTGTTTGTGTACAATTATATTGATTAAAAAAAAAATTTGTTATTAAACCAAAAACAGAACAAATTCAATGAACCAAATGACAATAACTTTGTGTTCTCACAATCTCAGCTAATGAATAAAAATATCACCTACATTACTTTCTTTGCTACAATCTCCTTAAGCTGTGCTCCTATGTGTCCAAACATATATAAAATTTTATCATATTAAAAAATTAATTTGTGTTTGATACATATCTCACTCAATACTTTACATTAATAAGACAACGTCGGTCTATTTTTTCCTTATTATATTCAATTAAATCATGTACACTTCTTTTTTTTAAAAACTATTACAAACAGATAGAGAGAAAATTTTTTGTTTCCTTGAAACAAAGCCTATCCTATTCTACATAAATATATAAGAATTTTTTTTCTCTTCTTTATCTTAAGTACTAGAATTCATATTGTATTGTACAAGTTATTTCTAATACCTAATTAAATTACGCAATACACAGAATCGAAAAGAGTTATATAGAGTAGTAATAATCAAATCCATCAATAAAAGCAAATATTAAAATAATAGATTTTAGATGACCAGATTAGAAGTAATAAACGAATATAGAAAATGTATAGATATGGATCTCTAAGGGGCACAATATTAAATCTTTGGTTTATATATACTTCTGGTGATTATCTCATTGTATCAGTATATCAATAAAACTGTTTACATGATTCCCTAATCCATTGTAAAAAAAAAAATTAATTGTGAGCAAAAATTATAGTTTTATTACCCTTTCGTAAATTGATAGAAGCAGCAGTAGCACCAGATTTTTAAATAATAATCATACAAATAGACTAAAGAGTAGAGTCATTTACACATGTTCAACATTTCTCTTTATCTTCTTTGACATTCATTGTTAAAATCAGTTATAGTAATAACACACATAAACTAGGGAAGATCGTGTACTAAACGAAGTAAAAAACACTTGTAAATGTATATATGGACAGTTATGTTATTTTTACATTTATAAGTCTTCTAGCTATACACACATACATACATACATAGCTTAAATATCCAATAATGCTAATCAAATATATTTTAACAAAAATGAACGAAGAAAAATTGCTGCGAATAGATCCAGATTATCTACAATTACACATCCGTTTATCATTGACTTATTCGACAACTAACCAAAAAAAATTATAATGATGATAGATATGGAATAAAATAATAAATGTAATTAATTAAAACGAATTAAAATAACATGAACTTATTTTTTCCTTTGTCCATTACGTTCTGAGTATCAAACCAGTATATGAAATTTAAACTTAACATCTATATGTATATATATATATATATTTATTTTAAAAGTGTCTTTCTCTCTGCATTTCAACTGACACACATACACACAAACATATATACTATGACTATAGACATTTACGTTGCGTGTGCAGTGTTCAAAATTATCCCGAGATCAAATTGTCTAGAAAAATGAACATAAATAATAAAAACAATATTTCGTTTTTTTTTTCTTCACCTGATTTCAATCTCTTGTCAGCACTGAAACAATAAAAAGAAGAAAAAAATTTGAGCTGACATGACACTTAACATAAACATATACATAGGAGAAAAAGAGAGGCAGCGTTCAAAAAAATATTAGTGACAGTAGATCACTTAGCGAAAGTGTATTCGCTTTTGTTCTTTTGGTGAAGGTAATAAATTCGTCAGGTGAAAGAGAACTTCTTACACTCTTTTCTGACAGAAAGCTGATTCGTTGTTAAACCTTTCCAGTCGTCAATTTTTAAAACACAGCAAAAAATATGACCATTCTGCAGGAAAGAGTTATCATCAAAATAATACACCACTTCTTTCAATTGAAGAAAACGGCTATTGTGATTAAGAAAGTGCTTTTGTTTGAGCTCAAATCAACAATTGTTCAAGAAAAATGATTGTTTACTGGAAGCTTGTTTACTAAGACTAAGATTTGGTTTCGTTTAATGAAGTGGATGTGAAAGGAACTCAATTAGGACACTGATGACTAGGACTTCCAAAACAGAAGTTCATCTAGTAAACAAAAATTCACGTTAGTCATTTGTATATCTAACGAGTGCGTATAACTAAAACGTTAACATTATCTTTTGACAAAATATCTATCATCAAGGAATTATAATAAGAGAACATCTCTCTCTCTCTTTTTCTCTTTTTTTGTTCTTTATCTCTACCTGCAAACCGAATCGAAAATGGCTTAAAGAATAATCAACTTGTATAATCATGACCGAAGAAGAAGAATGAGATGAAAATTTATATAAACGCACAGATCAGACACTATCTACTGAGGATTGAATTTCTCTCTTGCTTTATCTATACATACTTATATATGTGCATATTTTTCATCGATAAATTTCATTTTATATAACATACAAATGGTTACATAAATATATGTTTATCGTTATTAATGATGACAGACTTTGACTGAGAACGAAGATATGTTTATTTATTTCTCGAAAAAAATCATGTTGAAGAAACATAGAGAAATTAGTTTACACAAGAATAATACACATTCCTATTTTTCGAAAAAAATAATAATATAGAACAAATCTTGACAGCAAAGCTTCTTGTTTTTCCTGTTGAGAACACCGAACATTATTCATTACGTCGTCTCTTATCTTATCGATAAATAATATGCAAAAGAAGAGTAGATTAGGTTATTACTGATTAAACTTGTTGAAGTCTCACTAACTACTTTCAATATCTTCAATACCAGATATGAATTTGTAAAAAAGCATTAGAACTAACAACTATTCCACACGAAAGAATCTAGTCTTTTATCCTTATTGTGAACAACATTAATATCGTACCATCTGCTACTTGAATAATACTAAACTCTTATGTCAAAGAAAATTTGTAAAAGTCAAGGAAGGAATCTTAGTATTGTGAACCTTCTGTCAGTGAATATCGCAGAAATTAAACAAGAATAGGAGTCGTTTTTGTGTATCTACTAGAAACATCACGATAAACTTAATTAAAAGCGTTTTATGAAACAGATTCATGCACAACTTGTTCTTGAAGGGGACGAATAAAGAATTTTATTAACTTCAAATAGAGATTAAGTCATCGAGGACAACATCTGTGTAGCAAAAACCAGACCAGAATTAGAAGCCATGTATAGCTTTGTTATCAACATTATTGAATTGATAAACCGAATTATACCCACTTATAAAACGATTTTCATACAAATTGATCTTTTCTCTATTATTATTTGAGATGGGAAAAATCTCTGATGCTTTTGGAAACATTAACTCCTTGTATTTTACATACGCTGTAAGTTTTAGCGCTGTAAGAACGCCTATAACGGATAAAACATTTCTCTGAACAAATCCTAACGTAAGTGAACGTCTGTATTTAACATTCCAGGGTTTTCAATAATGTGTGCCACTAGCGACCGCAACATCTCATAGCATTGCGAAAATTTATTTAACACTCCGCTTGCAGCTGGGAAAGGATCGAATCACAGATAGACTGTGCACTGGTACTCTGTTCAATATTCTAAGACTAAGGCTAAGACTAAGACTGTTTATTCACGAAAAGTGAGAGTCATCAAAGGTCACCGACCTGTAGTAACAATGACTCAAGCCAAACAACACCAGAATAGTAATCAAAAAAAGAACAAAGTAAAGAAGACAACTAAGATTAGAACCAGAAGTAGTAAATAAAACTCAAAAATTTTTAAAAATAAAACAAAAGACAAAAAAGAACAAGCATAAATGCTTAACTGACAAGCGTTTCACTGGAAGAGATACTGAAGTAAGGCTGTTTTGAAAGACATAAAAGAAGAAAGACAAAT